GGAGAAGCTTTCTCAATTCTATCCAGTCTCTTCCTTAGGGATCAAATTTCTTCGTGATTAAACGCCGAAAGAGTAATCTCTCTTTCTCTCTCTCTCTCTCTCTCTCTCACTCTCTTCAGATTTTAATCGTCATTTATATTATGAAAATTTTAATTTAATTTCCTTTCAACTTTCTTCATTTCGCGTAACATCATTTCCGCATAAATGCATTATATTTTTATTACGATTATTATCTTATAGATAATATTCGTAAAAATTTTTAACATTCCAAAACGTTATATTTTTATTATTATTACTATCTTATATATTAAAAGGAATATGTTGAAAAGAAGTACGATATTATTTCAAAAAATTTGCTATGCTATTTGTAATTAAATACTGAAATTAAATGCTAATGTCGTAAACTAACATAGAGAATTTCAAATCTTTTTCATTGTGAAAGAAGATAATGGGAATGTATGATTGATAAATGATGTCGACATTCTCGATAAATAATCATTAATGACGTCGGCTATATTATTTAAATATAAATGTGTTTGTATCATCAAATTTCCATAACAGGTTTCATAATAAAGGGAGGCAGATTTATTTTGATCATTGTTTATTCATTATTTCGTGAGAACACCTACGTAAAGAATTATACATATATATATACATTTATTATCACTGCTATATTTTCCTATGTTTTAATACGTGCGACCGATCAATGATTTTTTAACTTTGAGAAGATCATAAAAATAAGGAAAAAGAAAGAAAAAAAAAAAGAAAAAGAAAAATCGTGGAATATTAAACGGCACACACATTTTTTTTTTCCAAAGGAAAGAGTCTTCAACATTTTCTACGTCTTTTCTTCTTCTTTACTTGCAATACAGATAATAAAAACCGTTCAATTTAATACAAATATATCACAGATTGATACTTTTAATGACTCTTTTTTATTAATCATCAATACGCATGTATCAATAGCAATGCCTAGGAACAGTAATGATAGATATTTTACTTACATAGAAATAATGAAACAATGTCGACTTGATTTTTGAAATAAAAACAAAAAGAAAAAAAAACAGAAGAAAAAAGAAAAAAGTTCCTCATACATCTCTCTTTATTTTTTTTCTTTTTCTTTTTTTTCTTTTTTTTTTTTTTTTTCATTTATTTCTTCAACAATGCGCGACGATGAATTTTAAGGTGTCCAGGTTGCTACGAAAAAAGAAAAAAAAAGGAAAAAGAAAAAGAAAAGAGGAAAAAGAAAAGATAGATAGAGAGAAAGAGAAAATTTTTTATTAAATCAACGAGAATGATCTATATTCACAATCGGAGGTTAATCCCATCGAATGTCTTTCTTCTAGAAGATAACTAGTTCGATCTTGAAAAGATTGATGTAGGAACCAAGAGAGAAAGCGAGAGAGAGAGAGAAAGAGAAAGAGAGAGAAATTGTGAGTGAGAGAGAGAGCAAGGGAGCTAAAGAGAGAACGAGAGAGAGAGAGAGAGAGAGCGAGAGAGAGAGAGAAAGAGAGAGAGAGTCCCTTGCAAGGCCGAAGGCAAGTCGACGACGAAACCATTAGTCTCGGCTCTATCGAGATGCCTGTAGGAATACGATTAGGGATGGCTGTCAGCGATACAGAGGCTCCTCAAAAGCGACTGGTAACGCAATTAAGAGGAGAGTAGGGCGTTGCAAGCTCCGCGCCATTAGGATGGGCAAGATCGGTCGCTAATTTCCAATTAGCTTAATTAATTATAATTTCCCATTCGAGCGAGAGCCTTTGATCATGGACGAGCAACGTGCTGTAGTTGCTATGTTCTCTCTCTCTCTCTCTCTCTCTCTTTTGCATTTGTTCGTTCGTTCGTTCGTTTGTTCGTCGTTGTGTTACGTTTACGTCGCCATATTGGATTCGGATATACAAGGAAATCATAAATTCATTCGAGCGTATTTAAAATCGCAGAAATTTTTTTCATAAGAATTTTGCGATTTTATCCTCAATATTTCTCTTGAATTATCTATGTATATATATATTTCTCTCTCTCTCTCTCTCTCTCTCGTGTTTCTTTCGACATAATATACATATATATCATTTGACGAGCGTCATTCGTATCTTCGTATACAAGTGCTTACGTGTATATAATACAAATCTGTTTACCAGGAAAAAAAATAACAAGAAATTATTTTTATTCATTCGGATCGGAAAGCGAGCACTTAGTTATACGGTATTGATTTATAAGAGATTGTGTAATAATCTGTCAGATCTTGATTCTATCGTTACGACTTAGTTTTTCTTTTTTTCCCTGCTTTTTTTTTTTTTTATATGTATATATATATATTATTCTTTTATTCAACGAAGCGAAAAATGATTGCGTATATACGATGATTTGTAAAAAAAAGTCGATGTTGAAAATCGTTAATTTGATCGATAGAAGATGAAGAAGAAGGAGAAGAAGAAGAAGAAGAAGAACAACAAAAAGGAAAAGAAAAAAAAGAAGAAAAAGAGGTCAAACTAAATCATTATGAAAGATCTTAATTCGAAATCAGTGCACGCGATATAATCTTAATTTATCGTGCTTGTAATACGGATATAAGAGACGCAAGAGAGTTGAGAGAATATAAGTACAAAATAAAAGTTTAGTCTGAATGGTCGAACCATTTAAATGGCGCTCGTTCTTAATACTTAAAGTTAAAAACACTCTTTTAACCTACGAACTCGCTATGTGAATTTCGTCAAAGGCAGAAAATTGACCGGAAGTTTCATATCGTGCCGGATGTTTGTTCATGTCATTTCTCATGTAAGAACAACCAAGATATTAGAGAAAGGAGATTTCGTTTAAAATAAATTCGGCAGAGAAAGAGAGGGAAAGAGAGAGAGAGAGAGAGAGAGAGAGAGAGAGAGAGAGAGAGAGAGAGAGAGAGAGTAAACTGCATATTCACACATACATTATATGCTAAAAGATATATGATAAAGATAAATCAAATAGATTTTTATTTTTTATTTTTGAGTTTTAACATTTTTTTTTATACATGTATATATGTATATATATATATATCAATTTATTTTATACATAATATTTATCTATTATATAAATTAATAATTACGTATGCAAGTTTTTGAATATTAGATAAGAGTTATCTTTTTTTATATGAAAGAAAAATGAACAATTATAAAAACTATAACGAACGTTAATGAATCGGGTAATCATAAAAAAGACGAAAGCCAATGAGTTATTAAAGTGCGATCATTAGTACCATCGGTGAACGGATAGAAGAAAAAGATTCATTCTGAGACAATAAAAAGAAAAGGAGAAAAGAAGAAAAAAAAAAGAAGAAAAAAAAAGAGATTAATTAAGCTAGCCGGAAGACAATATTCTTCCATAATGCGATTACGTTCCCATGGTTACGAGAAAGATATTCGAAAGGAGAATCCAAGAGGATAAAGGCGATGCCCCTTTCGTTTTCTCATTTTTCGTCCTTGTGAAATGATTTGATAAAATTTACATTTATATATATATATACATATATATATATATATATATCGACTTTTCTAAGTCGACTTTCCTAAGTCGTATCATGGAAATATAGAAAATCTAAAATACGTGGTCCAAGTAAATCTTTAGTATTTTAAATAAGTCTATGATAGAATATATCAATTTTCTAAAAATATAGAGAGATCGTGCTAAAGTCAATGTAAAAGTGAAAAAAAAAATGGACGACGTGAAATTTCGACGTATCTATCTATCTATCTATCTATATATATATATATACAATACATACATACGTGTGTGTTATATATGTACCTTACTATATGTGTATATATATATATGTGTGTATATATATATATATATACCTCTTTTATACCTCTTCCCATCGTGACAATATCATAGCGCATAACTACATTTTGTTATATTAAGCTCGACGATGCGGCCGAGCGCTTTTAGGCGTGTAATTAAATAGCGAATTTTCCGAAATGTGGCAAGGTGACATTTAAAATCTGCGAGAGGTGATCAAGTTGATTGTGTTTTATAGATGATAAAAAAAAATATATATATTTATATTTAAAAAAAATATATATATATACAAGAAAAAAGTATATATATATATATAATGCATACATAAAGTAAAAAAGATATAAAAAGAACATATAACAAGACATTCGTAAATATTTATACATTATATATAATTCATATTATTTTTATATATATATATATATATATATATATATATATACTATTCGTATATATTAAAAATGACTTGTTACGTTTCTTTTTTAAATTATCTCTTTCGTTTAATTTGTCAATTGTCTTGCCTGTATGTAAACGATCGAAAAAATTCATTAATCTTTCTATCATTAATCTTTCATGTATCCTTTTTCTTTTTTCTTTTTTTTTTTTGATTCTCCCTTTTCTTTTTCTTTTTTCAATTATTTTCTTCTTTTTCCCTTTTGATCAGACAATTATCGTTTCTCTTTATCGAACGAAAGGTACTTGACGATTTGAGTTTCATTTTTTTTTTCTTCCTCCCTTTTCTTATTCTTCCCTCGTTCAAAGATAGAGGAAAAGATAATCGAATTAATCTTTATTCAAAATAAAGAATCTCGTGGTAATAGATTTCACGGGAAAACTATTGAATACAGGTACAATATATATTTTTATTTTAATAAATTAATTTATTATTGGACAGGTGCATTTCTGGTCCCATATTGCATCATGTTGATCGTCGGTGGTATACCATTGTTTTACATGGAACTTGCCTTGGGTCAATTCAACAGGAAGGGTGCAATAACGTGTTGGGGTCGATTGGTACCATTACTCAAAGGTAAAATATTTTATAATCAAAATATAATATTTTCACATACCAAATATAATAATTAACGTGTTACAATCATAAAGATTACAATTAAATGTATTTAATAATTGAGTATATGTGAAGAACAAAAAAAAAAAAAAAGAAAAGAAAAAGAAAAATAATAGAAAAGGAAAAAACAAGCAAAAAAAGAAAAAAAAAACAAGAGATAAAAAAGAAGACAAATCTGATCGAATTCTTCGTTCAATAATATATATATATATATATATATATATATATATATATATATATATGTACATATATATTTATCTACGTATAAGATACATACATATGTACATACTTACGTATCCCCAATCGAATATACGTCGTTTTGAAAGGGCTGAGATTACGAAAGTGTACTCTACAATTTATCAAAATCCTCTTTGCCCTCGTTACTTTACTCCCTTTCTTCTTAAGCCAATGGCAATGTAGTACCTAAAGCGTTCTAAGATGAGAAAAGGGTGATTGGTATTCCAAGTGTGATGCCAGTCACTTTTCATCTTTTTGCACTTTCCTTTCCTTTCTATTCCATTTTTTTCCTTTTCTCTCCTTTCTTTTTTTCTTTCTTTATTTCTTTCTTTCTTTCTTTTCTCACCATACGCTGACCGAGAACAATCATCCAGTTCTGAGAGTTGCTGGACCAGACGACTCTCCAACCACCGAAGTTATGTCTCTCATATATATATATATATATATATATATATATATATGTATGTAGCTTTGCTAGCATGTAGCAACGGTGCTATATTCAATTCAGCCATTTACCACGGCACTTTACGTAACTCGTATAAATCCATGGAAAGCCTTCTCTCTCTCTCTCTCTTTCGCTCTTTCGCTCTTTCGCTCTCTCTCTTTCTTTCATAGAAGAGAAACGACAGAGGCTCGCAAAGAGCCTCCATTTCCGCCGATTTTCAACTTCATTTCCACGCTACCATTTTATCCAGCCAATCCTTCGAACATTGTCGATATATGTATTATACATATATATAGATATATATGTATGTATGTATGTATGCACATATATATATATATATATATATATATACGAAAAGCGATCGAAAGACCGACTTTCCTGTTGATTTTTTTTCTTATCTTCTATTTCCTATTAAAGTATCTCTTATTTCTGATCGATATTTATCCAATTTAAAAGAAGAATCATTTTTGTCGAACGAGATCTCTCGATCAGATTCGATATAATTTTAGAAAATTGAAATATATCTATGCGTATATTTTTTAGTTTCGAATCAAAGCCAACAAAAAGTGTTAACACTAGAATCATCATGTTTTTGTCAATTTGACGAGTATTTGAGAAAGGTGGGAAGGATGGAGGAGGAAAGAAAGAAAAAAGAAGAAATTAATATATTTATCATTAATTTTCGTTCGTTTAATTTTACAATGACGAGTAAGGAAAAAGAGTCCAAGAGTTTTTTACTTTTTTTTATAATAATTATCATTTCTTTTATATATATATATATATATATATAATTATCATTAGAGATATTGTAAAACGAGAAATTCAAAGTCCATTATTTCGACGTCATTGGATAGATCTAGTAGTTGATCTATGATTCTTAAATGACAAATTAAAGAGAACAAATTGCAATGATAAATAAAACTTGTTATAAAATTTAATAAAATTAATCAGAGAAGCAGAGAGAGAGAGAGAGAGAGAGAGAGAGAGAGAGAGAGCGTAAGAATGTTAAAATTAGTAGAGCGAACGAGATCAAAAGGGACTTTAAAATTTAATTAAAACACTCGGTTAATTTGATTCAGGAATCGGTTACGCCGTTGTCCTAATCGCTTTCTACGTCGATTTCTATTACAACGTGATAATTGCTTGGGCACTTCGTTATTTCTTCGCCTCCTTCTCCGGAATGTTACCTTGGACGACTTGCAATAATCCATGGAATACGCCACTATGTCGTGAGTTCGACGTTAACGTTTCTTATGCCATTGGTGAGCCACCACGATCTACGAACGACATTGATTTTGATCTGACTTACAACATAACTGGAGTATTTGCGGACGATGATCCTTTCGATATTCTTGCACTTAGTTCGACGAAAAACAATACCAAACACACCAGCGCAGCTCAGGAATACTTCAAGTTGGTATCTCATTTTGTTAAACATACCTGTTTTTTTTTGCTTTTTCTTTTTCTTTTTTTTTTTTTCTTTCATAGATATTTCATTTTTCTTTTCACTTGTGTCAAAATTATTTCAAGAACGAGTTTCGTTTAGATCGTCTGCATATACATATGTAGATGCAGTTTGAAATATTTATATCGTATAATCAGTTTGATTATCTAGGTTTTTTTCTTTTCTTTTTTTTTTTTTTTAGAATTTGAAAACGATTGCATTTTTAATCACATGATTATATATATATATATATATATATTTATACACATATATTATCTATATACGAGTTATATCATTGTCTTAAAGTCGCGCCATTTTGGAACTTCACGAGAGTGCTGGTATACACGATCTCGGAACTATCAAATGGGACATCGCATTATGTCTGTTGGTGGTCTACCTAATATGTTATTTCTCACTTTGGAAAGGTATTTCTACGTCGGGAAAGGTAAAATCTCTTTTACTTTATGTCACATATATCATACTCGTGAATATTCGTAAGATTCTTGATCGTTAATAGATTCGACATTTATTTTTTTACAGGTGGTCTGGTTCACAGCTCTTTTCCCGTATGCGGTATTACTGATTTTATTGATTCGAGGTGTTACATTGCCTGGAAGTGCCGAAGGGATTCGTTATTATCTTAATCCAAATTTTTCTGCGATAACCAAAGCTGAGGTTGAGTATATTGTTATTTAATAATTTTCTTTCGAACGAATATTAATTGTATTTTATTTAAAAATGGATTCAAAAAAGAATTTGTTGAAAATTCTTGAAAACGTTTCCTTGTCATTGGAAAAATGTAAAGAGAGAAAGAGAGAGAGAGAGAGAGAGCAAGAGAGAGGTAGAAAGAAAGAGAGCTAACCGTCGTTGTGATGAAAATGGAAACCCTGTGTAGCTGTCATAATGACCACTATACTTTGGTCGAACGATAGTATACGCGGTCGACCCTCTTGACTCGTCAACGAAATAGACTCTTTTTTTTCTCTCATTCTCTCTCTTTCTTTTTCCCTTAGTCGCAATTTTATATATAGTGTTGGGATTACGTTCAGAATGAATTATTCTTTTTACGTTGGTCATTCTTCTTTCTCTCACATTTCTAACATTTTTTCCTCGGTGGTTAGACATATAACTTATCGCTTACTTAGGGGATCGCGATTAGGGTGGATTACACGTGAATTCGATCGAGCCGAGTATTAATAAATCGTTAACTTTGATTTATTTAAGAATTGAAAAATATTGAAATTGTAACTAAAGGACGATTGAAAATAATTTATTATTTCTTTAGGTTTGGGTTGACGCTGCTACTCAAGTGTTCTTCTCGTTGGGACCAGGATTTGGGGTATTGTTAGCATACGCGAGTTATAACAAATATCACAACAATGTTTACAAGTGAGATATAGTGTTTTAACGAAGATTGCATCGATTTTGAGGAAAATAAGAAAAAAAAAAAAATATTATACGTAACCTGCATATGTGTATATATAAAAAAAGAAAGAAAAAAAAAAAAGAAATTAAAAGAAGAGTAAAAAATATGACGAATAAACAAGTGAAATAATTAATATTATTCAGAATGACATTAAACAGACATTAAATTTTTTTTCTAGGGACGCCTTATTAACGAGCGTTATCAATAGTGCAACCTCGTTCATAGCAGGATTCGTGATTTTTTCGGTATTAGGATACATGGCACGTGCCAGTGGTAAATCTATTCAAGATGTAGCTACTGAGGGACCTGGATTGGTATTTATCGTTTATCCAGCAGCTATTGCAACGATGCCAGGTTCAATGTTTTGGGCATTGATATTTTTCATGATGTTACTCACTCTAGGTCTTGACAGTTCGGTATGTAATTTAGATTAATCATTTGATTGATCGTAATGTTTTCTTCTTTTTTCATTTTATTCCATGCTCGAATCTAAATCTTTTATATTGTAGTTTGGTGGATCCGAAGCAATAATAACTGCACTGAGCGATGAGTTCCCTATTATAGGCAATCATCGTGAGATCTTCGTTGCCTGTCTATTCACTCTCTATTTCCTTGTTGGACTTGCCTCTTGTTCGCAGGTATAAATAATAATTAAAGATCAATACAAATCGTTGGTGCGATATATTTGTTAACAAAAAAAAAAAAAAAAAAAAAAAATAAGAGAAAAAAGGAAAAAAGAAATAATCATTTTAAAAATCATTTTCCTTAGGGTGGCTTTTATTTTTTCCATTTACTCGATCGATACGCAGCAGGTTATTCGATGTTGTTCGCGGTATTAGCGGAAGCGATTGCTATCAGTTGGATCTACGGAGCAGATCGTTTTTGTGCTGATATTAAAGATATGATAGGATTTTCGCCTGGTTTATATTGGCGAGTATGTTGGAAATTCGTAGCACCGATTTTTATCATGGTAAGTGATTACCATCAAAGATCTATCGTTATAGCTAATTCATTTTTAAAAGAAAAAAATTTCTATTCATTATCATCGATATTATAATTTTTTAATAGTTCATCATTGTCTATGGTTTAATGGGCTATGAACCATTAACCTACGAGGATTATGTATATCCATTATGGGCAAATGTAATGGGTTGGTTAATTGCTAGTTCTTCGATTATCATGATACCTGGTGTCGCTATTTACAAGATCATCGTTACTCCAGGCACATTCGTACAGGTAAATTATTATTAAATAAAAATTTCTTCAGTTCCTAATGATGATCATAAATTAAATTTAATCTAATACGATTATACATATATATATATATATATATATATATATATATATATATAAAACTTCATTCGTTATAAAACTTCAAATATTGAATAATCCTCAATGTCACAAGTTCAATTAATTATCTACATTTTGTGTAGGTATTAAATTGAACAAAAAAAAAGATAAATAAATAAATAAAGATGTTATATCATATATGTATAATACAGATAATATTTATAAAAAGCTTCTGATCAATTTTAGAGAATAAAAATTTTAACGACGCCATGGAGGGACACGCAACAGAGGAACGCTGATCTATCGTCGGTGGCAAATGGTGCCGTACGTCGAAGTTTCGTTGGCGATCAAGATTATGCCAATGTTAGCAAAGACAACGAAGAACTGACGAAAGAGCAAACCGAAGTGATGATTCAATCGAGAGAAGGTATCGATGTCGATCCACCACCAGAACCGGTCTAGGACAGTGCGATCGTTGTTTTGCATGGTGCTCGTTTTCGAGTATATCTTTGCTAAGACGATTATGTCGGAAAATGATTTAAAAATTCGATGGACCTATTATGACTTAAAAAAAAAAAAAAAAAAGAAAAAAAAAGAGAGAAAAAGAAAAAAAGAGAAAACTAAGAAAAAGAAGAAGAAGAAAAAGAAGAAGAAGAAGAAGAAGAAGAGGAAAAAATTAATAGATCAATCGTTCTTTATTTTCTTCTTTATCAAATAACAAAAATGGACGAGCGATATCGAACGCACTCACTTAAACTTTACGACGCGATCTTCTTACGTGAGATTTAAAATGAATTCAGATAAATATAGATATACACACATATATATATATATACATAAATATATATATGTATATATATATATATATATATATATATATACAGATACAAAAAATAAGCTATATATATGAACGATCTCAAATTACAAGCGTCGATTGTAAATATTATTACGATGCTGCGCATCGTTGCAATGTCCCTTGCAAACACGTTAGTAGATTAAAAGAGAAAAGAAAGAGTTAACAAAAGAAAAAAGAAAAGAAAAGAAAAGAAAAAAAAAAGAAAAAGAAAAAATGTTAAATTCTCGTTCGACAAAATTACAAATTTTATTGTACGACGTTGACGTTTGTGCTCGCGCTTTGAAATTCTTCTATTATTCATATACAACATATATAGATACATATATATATATATATATATATATATATATATATATATATAAATACATACATAGGACACATACGTATTACGTATATAAATAAATACGTGTAAGAAAGATTTGAGAATAATTCGCGATTTATGACTACGAAAAAGTTCCTAATCGCATTGTTAATATTTTTACTTTGATCCTGAATTGAAATTGTTCATACTCAGCTATAATAATTGTATTAGTAGATAATAACGATATCATCTAATGATGTTAATATTTGTTTTTTATTTTTGTTTTTTCTCTTATGTTTACGTTCAAAAGTCGTCTATAGATCGTATTAGATCTGGACGTATATGCTGTGTAGACTATACGCGTAAAAATGGTACCTTCTTTCACGCTCTCTCTCTCTCTCTCTCTCTCTCTCTCTCTCTCTCTCTCTCTCTCTCTCTCTCTCTCTCTCTCTATCTATCTATTTCTCTCGATTATATATATATATACATTATATATATCTTAGAAATAAAATATCACCGACGCGCAACTACGAATAATGTCGGTGGGAATTCGCACGGGTACGGTTCATTAAACTTTCCGCTCAGTCCTCGTTCATAATCGTTAATACTAATGTCGTCGCTAACGTGTTAGTTTTTCCGAATAAAATGATATTAAAAGTCGAATCTTTCATATCTAATCCTCTATATGATCTAAAATATATTAATCCGTAATGTTATATTTTTTACTTCGAAAAAAAATTATATTTTTATTTTATTTGGAATTTTTTTATTCTTTCTATTCTTTTATAAACACACAGACAGACACATATATATATATGTGTATGATAATTTTATGTATATTCATCGGGGGAGGAGATCTTTCATTTGTAATAATAAAATATGTACATGGAGAAAGATTATGAGGATATAAAAGTTATGAAGAAAATTAAATAGAGAGGACTGACGGGTATACATATTATTCAAATAGATACTAAGTGTTTTTGGACTTACCGTTGTAAGATCCATAGGAAATAGTTTATGTGGATATATATATTTATGTATGATATAGTTTATAGTTGTTGTTAGGTGAAAGAATATAATATATATATACATACATATATATAAATATACATAGTACTATATAATATACATATACGTATATGTATATATATACATATATAAATATACACACATATATATATATATATGTATGTATATGTATATATATATATTTTGTACATCGCATCTGAGTTGCAGCCACAGCCATCGGTAGCAGCTCGGGCCTTGTTGAAATTAAATGATAATATTAGACGAATCTTCAACCATTGAGGAATGTCTTATCGTTAATAGAATATAAAAATACTCATCGAAATGCGTATCGCTCTCTTATTATCATATTACACTTAAAACGTTTATCATTTTTTCTCCGGTAATTACATATGCCTCTCCAAGAGCCATATTGGGCAGGCATTAAGTGCCGGCATTTTTGTCATCAGCATTGTCATTTCTTACTTACGGAACAATTTTCTTTTTCGTTAATCCATATATATATATACATATGTATATATATATATATATATGAAAAAGAGAAGAAGATAAAAGAAAAAAAATAAGACTGTCGCACAGCCATGTAACCGGTTCGTACTTGAATCTTCATTTATGAAAGTCAACGTATGATAAAACAAATGTAAAAGCTCATTTTATTAAATAAAATTTGTTTATTTGATAAAGAAAAAAACATTGTTATGGATAATTTCATGAAATAAATATTTCTCCTAATTTTCCTAGCTCAGAATATTTTTTAATAATTCATTAATCAATACTTTTATTATATATAGATATATAATTTTTTGAACTTTTATACGATGTCACATTTCTTTTTACCTTCTTTTCTTATTCGAGAGAGAAAAATTTCAATTTCAATTTTTTTCCCCGTATTATTTTCTTTTTTCTTTTTTTTTTTTCCTTTTCTCTTTTTTTTTTTCTTACACAAATTTCAAATTCAAAACGAAGCGCCCGAACGACGTATCATTTGTATTCTATTGAAAAGATTCTCGATTCTCTCGACGACTTCGATCGCTCGAATTGTGACAATCGATTAGAATCAAGATGGCGCCCTCCAAGGAAGGTCTAACTGATTTGCAGAAGGAAATTTTTGATAAAATCAATAAGAATGAAGTGTCGGATATTAAAACCCTTTTGTCAACGAATAAAATAAAGGTCGATTTTGTTGATGAAAATGGTATGAGCCCACTTCAGCATGCTTGTTACAAAGGAAATAAGGAAATTGTACAGATGCTCCTCGACCAGGTAGGTTAGAATCTATCCCGCCTTATTTATTTTTAGGATTAATTTATTTAAACATAACCAATAATATTAGTTACAATTTATTTTTATATATATATATTATATCGAATGTAATTTAAGTTTTTATATATCGTAGTAACCTCTTCAGTTTTTTTTCTTCTTTTTCTTTTTTTTGTTACGAAAATAAACTTCATCCGCCGATAAATAAAAGATAATACCTGTTCATTCCTGAACTTTTGATTATCAAGATTCATTCGATTTTTGATTGAAATTTTTAGGACAATATATATATATATATATATATATATATATATATATATACGTATATATTATAGATGTGTTTGATATTGATATTGATCTTAAATGTATGATTGTTAAAAATTATCATCTTTTCTATCATATAACTCATGCATAATTGAATGCATTATCATTGAAGAACGTATCTTTGTATAGGGTGCTGATGTCAATGCAGGACAACATGAGCATGCTTACACGGCATTGCACTTTGCTGCCCTTAGCGGAAATGCAGATTTGTGTCATCTCTTAATGTCTCATGGTGCACGTTTGACAGCAACGAACAGCGTAGGACGTACACCAGCTCAAATGGCAGCATTCGTTGGTAATCATAATTGCGTTGCTACGATCAACAACTTTATCCCAAAGGCGGATATAGATTATTTTGTGAAGGCACAAGGTCTTCAAACTGAACCTATGCTTCCACCACATTTAGCAGATTCCTTTCATAAATTCATAATGCAAGTAAATGTACATCCTGTTCGCGTAGCTATGAATTTGCAGAGATCTCCTGGTCTTTTAGAAAACGCATACAAGGTGAGATATATTTAAAATGCATTTGGATGTTTATATAGGATATAATTTTTCTTATTTTAAACAATGATCTCTTTTCTTTTTTTTTTTTTTTTTTTTTTTTAAATTAGATACAAAAAGTATTAGAAGCTTTGCGCCATAGAGAGATGACTAGAGGAGCTGAAACGAATGAGGTTATGGCATTTAAATATCATTATCTTAGCTGTGTGGTAGCGGAGATAATAAAATGTCAAAAGCGACAAGATGCTATGAAAGGGGAGAAAAATGATAAAGATAAAATAAACGAAGAAGGAGAGGAAAAAAAGTCAGACGTAGTTGAGATATTGATAAGGAAATTTTTGAAATGTAGTAAAAGCGATGGAATACCAGAGTATCAAGAAGCTTTCTTGAGAGAATCCGTAAGGGAATTTCCATTTAGAGAGAGTACCATTTTTCGTCAAATGGTAGCAACACTTGCTGGTACTGATCCACCATCTGCTGTATCAGTTGTATCGGCAGCTATTAATGGACAAAGAGGATTCAATGATAATGCATTGGTATGTTTTACTTGCGAAGAAGAGAAAGCAAGTAAAAAGTGCAGTAAATGTAAAGCTGTTCAGTACTGCGATAGAGAATGTCAAAGATTACATTGGTCTATGCATAAGAAAGCATGTGCCAGATTAGGTCAAAGCCCAAGCCAAAATACAAAAACCTTAGATGTAGATAAAGAGCATATAAGTAACGTTGTAAATTCGAAATTGCAAAATTTACCTAACTAAGAAAATACATTGTTGAGAAAAGAGATATATTATGATTTTAAAATGATATATATATATTATATATATATATATATATATATATTCTTGTCCAATAATTTTGTTTACAAATGTACATAGTTCCTCGTGCGTGCGTGTAAATTTAAGTGTAATTTACAGGATTACATTTCTTTCTTTCTTTTTTCTTTTTTTAAACTCTCGTTTCCATAAGTTTATAATAAACATTTATTCGCATACATGAGATGAACTACGCTTACAAAAAAAAAAAAAAAAAAAATAAAGAAAGAAAAAAGAAGAAAAAAGTCATAAATACGAAATCTTAATAATGAACTGTACTGTATCATACGAAATCTTTTCATTTTAATTTTTTATAACTGCATTATATTATCTTATCTTTATAAATTTTGTATTTGACAACGTTGTAACTTGGAAATAGTTGCACGATGTAAATGGATCATTGTTTTATTACTTCTTTTTCTTTCTTTCTTTCTTTCTTTTTTTTTTTTTTTTTCTTTTTTTTTTTAATGTTCAGACATTACGATCGAACGATACGAATAAAGTACGGTGAAAAACGTAAATACGTGTTAATAAATACAATTATTCCGTCCGTTTCCTAATCGTTTCTTTATTTATAAAAGCCATAAGCTTTATAGATTTGAGAATATTTAATTGATTTACACACTTACATATGTTGACGCACGAACGTTTATTATTTCATAAATAGAAAAAAAAAAAGAAAAAAAAAGAAAGAGAAAGATTTTTATTCTTTCTCTCTCTTTCTCTCTCTCTCTCTCTCTCTCTCTCTCTCTCTCTCTCTCTCTCTGTCTTTCTCTTTCTGTCTTTCATTTAACGACGTCAAAGTTAAGAAGTCTTCATTCTTTAAACTCAATTTGCATAGCACTTGACGCTAGTCCGAAGATTCTTTAATGACAAGATGCTCGGCGCCATGTTTACTGGCGCCAGCTGGGCGGTCACCCTTGAAAGAAGACTAAAGGGCCATAGAAAAAGAATCGTTTAGAAAATATCTTACGAACTCACCGTCTCCTCCTACTTAAACCTTGTCCTCCGGGGGTTCTTTTTTTTTCTCCTTCTTCTTCCTCCTCTTTTCTTTTCTTTTTTTTTTTTCTCTCTTTCCACTCCCGTTTTCGTTACCTGCAACCGATCTGCTTCTAATAAGTCAGCAATGGCGTCGCACCTTTCCTTTTATTATTATTATTATTTTTTTTTTCTTTTTCTTTTTTCTCTTTCGCCTCACTCAACCCTCACCTCCTCTCTCTCTCTCTCTCTCTCTCTCTGTCTTTCACACGTATCTTCTTTCAAAAGTCCCATTTTATAGACTTATTACGCCCTTGTACATTTTACGAGATACTTTTCGTGCCGCTTTTCATTAGACTCAATGAACGTTTCGTCTCGTCACGTCTCGTCACGCCTCGTCCTTATTTAAACGACTTTAAAATACGTAGGCGCGATTGATCGTTCTTATAACTCGATATCATCGCACATCCTAATTAAAAACGATAATTTGTTTCTCTCTCTCTCTCTCTCTCTCTCTCTCTCTCTCTCTCTCTCTCTCAAAATTTACGCGTTAATAAATCTGATCCTTTCTTTTTATTTTTTTTTTTTTTCCTTTCCGTCGCTCGAAATTTTACCGATTTAACAAGTCTCACTACAAACTAGCAATAACAATATTAATAATAATAATAATAATAATAATAATAATAATACTAATAATAATAATATCTTTTTACAAATTATTATTATAATTATTATTATTATTATTATTATTATTATTATTATTATTATTATTATTATTATTATTATTATTATTATTGTTATTTTCTTTTTTTTATTTTTCTTTTCATTATCGCGTAACCAGACAAGATTATTGTTTCATGCATAACGTTGACGTATCCTTTAAATAAAATAATAGAAAAAAAACGATGGAAGTTTTATTAACAACAACAATTGTTACGTATTTATCGAACCTTTTAAAATAATGTAAGTATAAATAGGAAAAGTGGTCGTCGTGGTTATAGCGTCATAAATCAGACGACGCGTGGACAATTAGGGAACTCGTTGGCGGTGACGAGCGGCGTAAAAGATTACAAGAAGAGAAGAAACAAGCAGAAGAAGAAGAAGAAGAAGAAGAAGAAGAAGAAGAAGAAGAAGAAGAAGAAGAAGAAGAAGAAAGGACCAGTGTTCTGGGCCGGCGGCCCACTTTGTTACTCTTTTTGCCGACAAACGGAAGTGACGCATCACACGTTCGTCGTACGACGTACCACGAACGTTGTATTCTCGGTCTTCGATTATCTCGGATAAAGTATTCGACAGACGTCACACGTTTTTCTTTATGAATATAAACCGTTATATTGATATATTAGTCTTAGAAACTAGGTCGAATTTGTGTAACAATTGTTTCGAGCTCGCTCATATATATTCGTCATTATTATTATTATTATTATTTTTTTTTTTTTTTTTTTTTCTATTAAATTTAGATTTTCGATATACATATATATATATATATACATATATATATATATATATATATATATATATATATATATATATATGTATGTGAAATTTTATCATTTTTCTATATTATTAGAGGTCTTGGTCAAATATTGTTTTTTTTCATTTTACCATACGAAACTTTCACCGAGATAGAAAGTATACCCAAATAAAATCGAGATGATCGAATTTGAGACTAGATCGAGTTTACATAATAATTTTTTTAAGTTTGTTTATATATACATTGTTTTCTTTTTTTATCAAATTTTAAATTTCCACGACTTTCATTTACGAAATTTTATTATTTCTGTAATTTATTAGAAATACTTTTTCTTTTCTTTTTTTTTTTTGTTTTCTCTCATTTTACGATATTTTCGTTGATAAATAGTACAAGGTAATAAAATTAAGATGATTGAATTTGAAATTAGGTTTGATCAACAAATTAACAATTATTTTGAAGTTGATAATATGTATGTATGTACGTCATTTTTTTTTTATTTTATCAAATTTAAATTTTCATGATAATATCGGCGAAATTTGGTCGTTTTTTTTTTAATTTCTTAAAGAAATCTTATCGTTTTGGTCAAATACTTTTCTTTTCTTTTCTTTTTTTTTTTTTATTTCACCGTACACAAAAGACTTTCACTAATACACAAGTACATACATATGTACATGCCATTGATTTATGAAACGACGATTGAGGGAGTTGGAAACTTTCACTTTAAACAGTAAAGGACCGAGTTCTTGATTACGTAAAAAACATTTTGGAAATAAAAATTTTTCTCTTGTGCAAACACCTGCAGGCCATTCTTTTTCATTATCTCTTGTATTCTTTTTTTTTTCTTCTTTCATTCTCCTTTATTTCTTTTTCTTATATAAACGAAATAAACCTATAAAAAGTGGCTTTTTCTTTCTTTTCTCATTTTTTTTCTCATTTTAAACTTTACGATTCGTTTCACTTTTCAAACGAACTTTGTATGATACGGTACTATAAAAAAATAAGAAAAAGAAATAAAATAAAATAAAAATAAAAATAAAAATAAAAAAAGAAGGAATAAACAAAGAGAAAAAAATATTCACAAGATCATTATTAAAGGGCCTTCGTTATACTTTCCTTATCAACTTTTAAATTGGTAACGATAAGCAAATGTATACGTAGCGATTAAAATTTTTTGAGAGTAATCTCATCATTTTCGTTTTTTTTTTCATGAATAAGGCTAATAAATTTTATAAAAAATGAAACGAGGTATACGGTAAGCTATACACGTTGCGGCATGCTTTTACGCGTATTGCTTGTTTTCACTGTACGGATTTCAACGTCAAAAGGAAACTCCTGGAGAAATCTTTAATTTATACGAAAGATCACGAATTCGCGGTTTTGGATATGCAATCGCGTCTCCCGTTTTCTTATTGTCATTTCTATACGTATATTTGTCAGGCGTCATCTAGAATGCGAAATACTCTGTGAAAGTTTATCATAGTTATTCAATCTGAACGTGACCTTTTCAAATAATTCCTTGACCATATATTTCATTAATAATAACAAGGAAAAAAAAAAGAATAAGAGAGAGAGAGAGAAAGAAAAGAAAAGAAAAGAAAAAATCTTTCTTTCATTGTTTCTGATAATCAGAAAAAAATTCTTAATTCAAACGGAATTTTGGCATTTGCGTCACTCAATTAAATAAATACCATCGTTAGATTAAAGAGGGAATTACCGATAACAGTTTTCGACATTATTTGCCTGCGATATGTAAGTGTGTATGTATATATATATATGTATACGTATATGTTTATCGTTTCCTTGTGCTCATTAATACAAGGAAAAGAAACAAGTACAACGATTCGAAGGGAATGAAAAGAAGCAAAAGAAAAAAAAAAAAAGAAAAAAAAGAAGAGAAGGAAAAATGAGAATTTTTACGATGAGTCAGCAGTTCGACCTTGATTTTACGATACCTAAGGTAAATACATATTTTGAAGATGGTATTATATCTTTTTCTTTTTTGCATGAGAAGTTTCTGTTTATGTCTTTATCAAACATTCCTCATTCCTCTCTCTCTCTCTCTCTCTCTCTCTCTCTCTCTCTTTCTCTCTCTCGATTTTATTAAACGAGAACGCGAATGGATGAGGTAGAAGGGAGATAGAGGTGACACAGAGAAGACAAAACGGTATTCGATGGTGTAAGCTTTCTGACGAAGGAAGTAACTCGAAGGAAGAAGGTAGCACGATCAGTAGTAGTCTTGAAACAGTTCGCGTGAAGAAGACTACGGGTACGACAAAAAAAAAAAAACAAAAGAAAAAAAAAAAGAAAATGTTCGTTAAGAAATCAACGTTATTACAATCGATTGCAATTATAACGATATTGTCGATAAAAATTATTTCGTTGGATGGTAAAAGACCGCGGGGACCTATCGAGGAAGCTATACAGAATGGTGCAGTGACCGATTATATACAAGAGAATTGCATTTGGAGGCGTGGAAACGACAGGGACTCCTGTCCGGATCCTGAAGTTCGTGTTTATTTATATACACCAGGAAATAATCGCAGGGAACTCGATTCGAGGGAATCAGATTGGCTTAGACACGATTATGATGCCACAAGGGAGAATATCATTCTTATTCATGGCTATGCAGGTGGTTTTACTAATAACGATTTCATTTTGTTTCTTTTTTCTTTCTTTTTTTTTTCTTTTTCTTCTTTTTCTTTTTTTTGTTTTATTTCTTTTGATTGACACGTTGTCACCGTCAGAGAATCGTGTCACCTTTCTCGTGTATCGTAGACAATGACAAA